AATAAATTAGAACACTCACTAGCCCAATAACATTTTTTGAAACATAGTACATTACAACATTAACGGCCGTCTGGTGTAGTGGTAAGTGACATGGTCACTACACAAGGGGGTCGCGGGTTCGAATCCCGCCAAGGGGAGATATTTGTATGATAAATATAAATGTCTTTTCCAGGGTTATGGATGTATATTAAATATATGTATGTGTATAATAAAAATCTTACATTTATTTCCGTTATCTGGTACCTGTAACACATGATCTTTACGAACTTATCACGGGACCAGTTAACGTGGCGTGATTGTTAGTAAATATTTATTTATTTAGTATTCGCAGAAATAATTTATCCCACGGAAATTGTAAGGGGATTCAGTCAAACAAATAACGTTATCAAAGTGAGTAATTATAGTAATTTACTTTGTTAAATTTCCCTTTTGCTGTTTGTTCTATAAAGCAACGTAATTAAAGGCTTCCGTTTTTGGATATTGCTCGCGAAATATTTGTGTCAGATTTCATAGTTGCGCGGGAAGCAGATCGGGCTGAGTAATATATTGCCACAGTGTTCCTATATATAGCTTTGTGCATGTAAATTACGATTCCGGAATGACGTCACTAACTTCCTTATACGTATTCTGTTTTCCAGAGCGCTATGACATGTCGTTCTTTAAAAATGGTTTTTTCAAGTCTTCTATTTTAGGCAGCGGTTTGGCCTCAACTGCTCGGCTAGACCGTATGCCTTCGTAGTAAAAAAATAATAAAAAAATTTTTGCTAGTAAATCTAGAATAATTTGTTCGTGTCAAATCAATGTGAGAAAGTCTACATTACCAATTTGATTTCAAGTATATGACGCTCGTATTTTGATGAAATATAATTATTACGAACAATAAAATGTGGTATCATATAATCTAAATTATTTAAAATACATTTTGTGGATACTACTAGTGTGAACACCGCTACCAGATTTGAGACAAAAGTCGAAGTGTCCGGCAGGAATAGGTTAACAATACTGTTAATATATTAGTGATACACTACCAGAAACAACTCAAGCGAATTTGAACCGTATTGAAAACAATAAAGATTGATTTTTGCTTTTGTTTCGACGTTTGTTGGCGCTATATTTCAATATCAAAGTATTAAATACGTATTTTTTTCCGAAAGTCCGAAATTTAACGAAAAACAAATAACACGAGGTTAAAGCCATAAAAGTGTTTTCAATCACAACTCAGATCTCGATCAGTTAAGTCCTCGAAAAAACATTAAATGCTCTTAAATCATTTTAGTGGCCTAATGAATATAATTAAGGGTTCGTTGTTTTGAAATTCTAGATAAGCGCTTTAATGTTTCATCTTTGAGATTTTTTCATAATCGAAACATAAAAAAGTCTATTTATGTATCTATCTGTTTTCGTCCTTTAGATTGTCCTGTAGATTGCGAAATGACCTGACCAATTGCGACGAAATGTTCAGGAGATCTTCAGATTGCCCTAGTGGGTGATCCTGTGGAGCTTGGTAGCTATGGATCAACAAATCGGGCTGGTTTTAAATAATTGTGTAAAGTTTTCAAATATTTGCACGTTTATTACAACAAATTGTTAGATTATTACAGCATATTGACACAAAATCTCACAACACAGACTAAATGATCAAGCATAAAATAGCCGGATAGATGGTAAAATTTCTTTTATAATCACTGCTTAGCATGTTTTTTTTTTAATTGCTTACATGGGTGGCCGAGCTCACAGCCTACCTGGTGGTTACTGGAGCCCATGGACATCTACAAGGTAAATGCGCCACCCACCTTGAGATATAAGTTCTAAGATCTCAGTATAGTTACAGCGGCCGCCCCACCCTTCAAACCGAAACGCGTTACTGCTTCACGGCAGAAACAGGAAAGCGGTGGTACCTACCCGCGCGGACTCACAAGAGGTCCTACCACCAAAAACAAGTATGTTATGAACTTGTTATGAAAAAGTTGTAGCAGAACTGGCAATGTCAAATAATACTGATGGCATTCGGTTTGTTTGACCATTGCCGTCAGCATCTCGCAGCGTGAATTTGATTTCGGCCTTAAAATAACGAATATCCCGCCCTTTAAATCCACCTCCACCACTTTAAGCATTTTCCCGAGTTGCAGACACACATTTAAAATTACTTTTACGGTTTAATGAACACAAAATTAAAATTAAGATGAATAAAAAACATCTTAATCGTCTGCAATCACGAAAAATGTAAAACATTTGAATTTTTTGAAGTCGTCGTGGCCTAAAGGATAAGACACCAGTTGCATTCGTATCTAGCGATGCGCTGGTGTTCGAATCCCAAAGGCGGGTAACAATTTTTCTAATGAAATATACGTACTTAACAAATGTTCATGATTAACTTTCACGGAGAAGGAATAACGTCATGTAATAAAAAACAAACCCGCAAAATTATGATTTGCGTAATTACTGGTGGTAAGACCTCTTATGCGTCCGCACGGGTAGGTACGACCGCCCTGCCTATTTCTGCCGTGAAGCAGTAATGCGTTTCGATTTGAGGGGCGGGGCAGCCGTTGTAACTAAACTGAGACCTTAGAACTCTATGTTTATGGGCTCCAGTAACCACTTAACACCAGGTGGGCTTAGATCTCGTGCACCCAACTACGCAATAAAATAATAAATAAAAAGAATTCCAAACGTTAAAAATAATATTATGATGACAATAATAATACGAGATTGAACCGTAAAAGTAGTTCTAGTTAATACTAACTTTAGCAGCAGCTTTAGTGCGAACCAAATTAATTATTTATTTATTAACGAATAACAAGACGGAAAGAGCAACTTCTTTTCAAGAAAAACTTCTTAGAATATCCTGAGAGGCCCCAATGAAAGTACGCGCGTAATGATCAATAATTAAAAACCAATAAACTTCTTCTCCGACTAATGAATAATACAACAGTTTTATCTTTTGTTTTATCCGAAGTCTCAATATCTGAAATATATACGAATTTCTATTATTCATTTAATAATTAGTTTTACTTTCATTAAATATTTATTTTAAAGTATGTAGTTAGAACACAGCTGAAATTCAGAATCTTCTACTTAAGAATCTTTGTCAACTTCTTAACTGTAACTATATTATGTTCACAGATGTTTTTTTCCCTTATTATAATCCTATTTAGTGGCTTGCTTTAAGAAAACACATTACTTAAGCACATCCGTATACACCCCATACGTATTTGTAAATTGCTTCACCTTCTTCTAAAAGACAATTTTTTTCATAAATGCCTACAGCTCAACCTCAATATAACAAATCGAAAGGGAAAAAGTAAATATTCGGTATATCAAGCAATTCAGTAAGCTGAGGTTTATTATATTAAGGTTAGGTGGGACTACCATTTGCTATAATGAGGTAAAAAAAAATATGTTTTATTCACCTCAACATTACTTACTCATTTTGTTATAGCGTACAACTTCTACTAATAAATGATAACACATCTTTATCAAATTACTGTATGTATTTTTTATTTAAAAACAATTAGGTAGGTAACATTTTTCCCAAAGCTGTCGAGACTGAATCACATACTATGGTATTAAGGGTCATATTTGGTGGGAACGTTGTATAAAGGTTTTGGGTTTACAAAATTCGTTAATTAGAGGTATTTACACTTTTTTGATAATAGATAATTCGTTATAAAGAGGTTGTTCGCAAGAAATCTTCGCAATGTAAATATATATTTTACGTTGACTCTTAAGGATAATTTATGGGGATAACGAAGAATTTCTTAAATCGAGGACGTCTTTATATTGAGGTTCGTTTTATATTAAGGTTGCACTGTATATACGTGAATTTTTATCTCAACCAGCGACGAATGAAAGCGCCCGTTCTGTAAGATGATTAACACAGTCAAGAGTGTGAGTTTTTTATTGCTCTATATTGCCTATAATCAGTCCGCATATAATTTTTTTTTAATTTTTGTTTATTGCCTTCGTATGAGAAGAGAGATAAAATGAGACTTCTCAGTTTATCTCTCTTCATGCAACATCTCTTCTATTTATGTTATGGCCAAAAACATTATAAGTGTTATGTCAGGAATAGACCAATTGAAGCAATATGGTTGTTTAATTTTTAATTTAAGCGGTTTATAACGTATGTAATAGCGAAATTTTTCCTTTTTTTTTTTTTTGTAAAAACAGCATCGAAACAGTAACAGGGACTTTTTTTTAACAAATACTAAATTCGTCTTTGCCTTTGATTTTACCATAAGAAATAGACAATTAAATTAACATATCGGATCCACAGAGTATTTAAAAAATACATAATATGTTCGTATGAACGGATTTGATATGTTTTTTTTTATTTCTATACGATTTTAGAATGACTTTAGTAGAAGAATATTGATTATCTTTATTCACACATATATAATTTCTTTTCCGTTTTTCCTCAATTGTTACTGTATGGAACTGACATTTGCTGACTTATGAAAAAATAATAATGGGAAATGCATTCTTATATCGATTTGTTTCTATTGAAATTTGTTATGTTAGTTGGATATTGCAGTATTAAAAAGTTTTTCGCGTAAATCACGTGTGGAAAGTGGACTTTTGATATTTTCCCAAAGGTGAATTTAATTCTTTTAATTCCATTAATTTCTTATAAACACTAGGATTCATAGGATCCTACCACGTCTTTTTTTTACTTATAATTAATTCTCGATTTATCGGCGTCAAGTCCCATGGTCCAGGGTACACTGAAGACTGGTCATGATGGTTAAGAGCACACAAATCTATCTACTTCACCTTAACTTTATGATGTTTAGGAGCACACTAGTCTGTCTACCTTATCTTACCTTAACTTTCAGGCCTGTTTTTGGTTGTGACCTAGTTCGTATTCTATATCTTGATTTTCGAAAATATCATCGGGGAATACGTAGCTAATTAAAAATATGTACAGTTTCAAAGTTCAGAAATTTTACCTTTTCCGTAAAATCACTCTTTGTTTGATTAAAAGTAAACTAAAAACCACCTCATTTTCGTTTATTCCTCATACATTTTCTGATGGTCAGCCTCCAGAACGCTAGTCTGAAATCCGGCGAATAAAAAGCGTATATAAATGGATTTATGGCCGAGTTAAACCACCCTAGCCAAGTGAGTATGTACATTAGGACAGGATTAACGTAATTCGACGGTATAAACGGTGTTAGCAAGTAATAGAGAAAGAAAGGAAGCCAACAGGCCACGAAACCGCCCACCACAAGGCTCAAGGTTTGGGCGGTTTTAGTTTCCCGCCGCAGCGACGACACACGATTATTTTCGTGTTCCCTTACAGAATGCGAGCGTCGGGTTGTGTTTTTGTATTTATAGTTCGCTTTGAATGTAACTTCGTTGTAGAATTTCGACTCTTTCTCCTTGCTCCTGTATTTGTGGTGTGCCTTCTTTTCTTTGAAGCAGCAACACTTGTGGTCGCCTAGCGAGGTCTCACTTTGTTGATTCGAGTTCTTGGACGTCTGCTTCGAAGCGCTCTGCCTTAACGAGAGTTTGTCCGATCCGGAATCGGATTCGGTTCGGATGCACGATAGCTTGTCCTTCTGCAACAAAAACAATTGTGATTCGTTTTTCAAGTATTGAAAGTTTTATGGGCAGACGATATAGTTAGCTGTTGGGTTGTTATTATATAAAAAGCTCAATTACATTGATCTTCCCGAAGACATGATTATTTTGAAATAGTAGGAAGTGCTCTGAGGAATTGTTCGAGATGATACCGTCATCTCGTTTTTACCATTGCACCGCCCGCCACCGGAGTAGAGTTCATCCATACTACCTGGAGCCACTGCGGTCATCCAAAGTGCGTTTCCAGAGGTCTTTTTTGCCACGTACCACGGCTATGGAATGAGCTCCCCTCCACGGTGTTTCCCGAGCGCTATGACATGTCCTTCTTCAAACGAGGCTTGTGGAGAGTATTAAGGGGTAGGCAGCGGCTTGGCTCTGCCCCTCGCATTGCTGAAGTCCATGGGCGATGGTAACCACTCACCGTCAGGTGGGCCGTATGCTCGTCTGCCTACAAGGGCAATAAAAAAAAAAATATAAATAAGCCATATAGCGGCGGCATAGATCTTTTTTTTTTGGTTCAATAGGAAATATTCAGAGCGTCGGCCGCGTGTTGGGGTTGATAAGCGGGGCATGTCGGGAATTAAGCCTGCTAAAACCCTTGTCGTTCAAGAATCGACCTCCGAACCTCTGTTCTCGTTCAGATAGTTAGTCCGTGTTTGTGCGGAGGGAGAGATGAGTGCTCTCTGTCACCTAAGTTTCTTAACGTCTTTGCCAGTAAATCAACGTCTTTGTCTAAATACGATAAATAGCTTTCGTAATTGTAAAATTGTAATAGAAAAAAATAAATACGATTCTTTCTGGAACTCCAATAAATGTTCTTGTAAATTGTTTTCGTGAGTGTAAAAGGTAATCGCTTGCATAGCTGACAACACTAGAGGTCCCGCAGTAGTCGAAATTCGACTATAATTAAATGGAATGTTAAGTTTGTACACTATTATGATTGTATTTGATACTTCTTTAATCACAAATTTCGCAAAGACCACACTATAAAAAATATTAACAAAGACAAACAATATATAATCTATTCTCAATTTGACAACAGACGTCAAGAACAAAAGTTTGACAATAAATAGTATGCATGCGTGTGTGCGTCAAATACATGGTATGTAGTGTGTAATGTTTTCTTTATTGATTTAATGTATCTTTTATGCATTATTTCAAAAAAATATTAGCATTGTGCACTTCTTCTCTATATTCTCTATAAGTGTGGAAAGTTTCATACTCCACCGTCCGCGCAATTTTCGTAAAAAGGGATACAAACTTTTTGCTTCACGTATTAATATATAGATTACAATCCAGAGCCCTGTAACCTTTTTTTTTTAAATTCGAAATAAGTAACGGTTGAAATCACGATGAAGTATGCAAAATATTGTCTTAAAAGAGACTATACCTATACTGTGTATAATTCAAAGAACTCTCAATGTGCACTCAGTGTCTCGCGGAATTCGGAACAAAGGATGTAGCTTCGGTAAAACTCTTTTGTGTAGAACACAGGTCTTTAAGTTTAACTGAGATCTCTCGTGTGTCTCGAAAATTTTCCTGGTTAAGTGACAATGAAAATGGAATTGTCTTCTCCGATCTCGTAACAATCTGGTGCCTCGTTTTATCGATACTAAATTTTAGTGATCGTCAATTTGTTAAGCTTTATAGGTGAATTTGCGAAATATTAATGACACTTAACGCGAATGTCCAATCTGATTTTCTCATTATCTTTGTGAATGTGGATCTTAAGAAACGTCCTTTTTTTTATTGCTTACAAGGGTGGACGAGCTCGCAGCCCACCTGGTGTTAAGTGGTTACTGGAGCCAATAGACGTCTACAACGTAAATGCGCCACCCACCTTGAGATATAAGTTCTAAGGTCTCAGTATAGTTACAACGGCTGCCCCACTCTTACCGAAACCGAAACCGAAACGCATTACTGCTTCACGGCAGAAATTGGCGGAGTGGTGGTACCTGCCCGTCTGGACTCACAATAGGTGCTAACCCCAGTAACTACGCAAATTATAATTTTGCGGGTTTGATTTTTCCTTTAAAATAATTCTAAAGCGTTATTACATTTACCTTACTGCACTTTGTACTGCTGGCCAGCTGGTGATGTCTTCTTGCGACCACGCAGGAAATCCTCGCGTAGACATAGACCATCACGGCCATGGGCAGGAAGAACGACCCCATAGCCGAGAACACAACATAGCCAGGGTTTTGATTGTATCTACAGACTCCGCCTTGGTTATGATCTGGTTCATACCTATGGGAATTTACAGAAGAAAAAATAATGTAGCTTTTATGTCATTGGTATTAATTTAGCACCTCAAAGTGCACGGTGACATTCAAATTTATTGTCTCTTGACCTCAGTAGACAGACGCTTTAATGAAGATATTAGGGTCCCAAGAGAGATGAATTTACGCGCACTACAGTATTCGGAATGTCGCTGAAATAATGAAGCATCGTGAAGATTTAAATAGCCTGTGAATAGATGTCCGATAATTGGTAATTTCATGATAAAATGACCAATCTGGTATTTTGAGTACCGTAGTATATCTTGTTTTCGCTTTTCAGCTTTTACAGGTATTGGGTTATTGGCTCATTACTGAAACCCATCGGATTCAGTGTTGTTCTATGGGTGTCGTTCGTGGACTTAGGTTATGTACAGAGAGCAAAATTTACAATGGAAATGTGTGTCCTGTATTACCGATTTATTCACAACGTATAAGGCGCGGGAGACAGTTGTATCGTAGGCTATATCTCGCGTCTTCTAGTGTCTGCAGTATCTTACCATCCAAACATCGGTGGACACGTAATAGCTCCAGCGGCTATCCAAACAAAGAATATCATTGTCAAGGCCAATTTCTTGGAGCGTCTCCGCCTGGAGTATGTCAAAGGCCTGGTCACAGCTAAATAGCGGTCCACGCTGATTGCGCAGAGCGAGAGGATGGACGCTGTGCAGAGTAAGATGTCCAAGCTTATCCAGATGTCGCAGAGGATCCAACCAAGCTCCCATTCACCTGTTGACGAATAATGATAATCATTATTGCGAAGCCATTATGTAAAATATTTGCAATAAGTTCATTCGGCACTTGACCAGATGATAAAGGCTCGTAATCATAATAGAGATATTTGTTTTATCTACCCTAATTAAGATTTAGCTTGATTTGGCTACGGCCAGCTATTCTCAATCATGGATGATTGACATTAGATAGAGGGTTAGTGATGAGGCCGTTTAATTAAATTCAATTTTGGATTCTTATTGTAATAACTTACTGGGATAATGGATGAAGGAAGGTAACATTTACAATATTTTTGCTAAGCTCAAATGTCATACGAATACTGCGGATGAATTAAAAGGACCTGTTTAGAGGCACTATCGGTGTGTAGTTACCTATATTCTGCCTATTCCTAACCGCGTATTAGTTGTGCATTCCGGTGATTGTTATACTATACTCAAGGAATCTGTTTCTCATAAAGAACTATACATTGGATGTGCCTGGGCTTGTAATGTGCAAATGCATTGCAACATGCTCTTAGCGAAGAAATTGAGAATAACTCTCAAAACCCAATTTACTCTGGATTTCAACAAGCGGATTTTTTACTAAAAGCAAGAGGAATGTTTAAGCGTCTGTAGAGTTGGGTACGTCTGTTAAAATAATATATTTAGAACGAAACAACAGCACAAGTTTTTTGGTTTACCATTGAAATTTCGACCTAGGTACTGTCTCAACGCCAGTAGCGGCATTCACGTCCTGATGTGTTTGGACTTTAGGGAAAAACTTCAATAGCACCAGGGGAATTATGAGCTCGTTTATTCCTCTATAAACGAAAACATAAAAAAAAACCCGGGAAAGCTTATGCTTATCAGTAATGATCCTAATATCAGCAAATGATTATTTGAAAATCAACTGGATTAGTAAATCCAGAGATTTGCGCGAACAACAAAAAGACAGACAGAATACAATTATTCAAGTTTTTGGTTTATATATTTTGTTTATTTTTTTCAGTAGCCTCTTTTTTTATAATATTACTTGTATAATCACGTCTGGGTTTTACTATTGTATTTACTATATACAAATGACTAAGTAAATTACCACACTCCAGACGATTTTAGTAGCTTGGAACCACTAAATTACTAAGCCTAATTATACAATGTTCTAATTACGATCTCTGCGTAACGTAATTAACGAGTTCTTATACAGCGTGTTGTTTACTAATTATATTTTAATATCTCTGTGCAATGCTCTTTTTTAATATAGAGCGGACGCGCTATCCGTTCACCTGAAATTGAACCCTACTCGGAGACCACATAAAGACCATATTTGAAACATAAGGTCAAAATTAGAAATATATATTTCTTTATTGTTTTTTATTGCCTTGATGGTTCGATGGCCTCACCTAGTGTGAAGTATTTACCAGAATTCTGAGCCTCAGGTCTTACAGTACAACGGATGTCCCACTTTTCAAATCGGAACGCAAATCACTGCTGAAATTGTCAGGGTGGTGGTAGCTATTCGTGCGGGCTTAGATGATTGCCTACCACAAGTAAATTGTGTTTTGTAATTAAATAATTGATATGAACAATATTGATCAAGCTTAATTACTGGAGAGTATTGATAATTTGTATCATCATCAACTATCCTGCTTATTACCATTACGCGTTACAAGGGTTTGTTAGGCTTTATACAATTTAATTGAGACTTCCACGATGTTTCTCGATTGAGGGCTGATAGTCACAGTTTCAGTAGTCACATGACTATTAGGCAAACAAAAAAACGTGTGGCACTCGGAAACTGCCGCGGTAAAGCTATTGCATAGCATTTTTTATCAACTTATGCAATTATAATTAGACAATGATAATTTAATATTAAAACAATAATAAAACAAGACCACGCTATATTAAACATCAATAAAAGCAAAACTTTAACTGTCCCCTTCACACTCATAAGCTAGACCGCGCGAGAGAGAGATGGGCAGACTTTTCATGATGCGCAGTGTGACGTTACGCCACGCGCTTGTTCACAAGCACTACACGAGCGCAACGTGTGAATGTGTTGAACGCGAGCTACATGGTAGGCGGAGTGAGTGGTGTAAGGTTTTTTTCGTTACGGAATTTCATGATTCGGTCGCTGCGCTCAAGGCCCGCGATAAAAGCTATGCAATAGCTTAATAGTTCGAGGCTAAAAGATCCTAGCTACTCGATTGGATTTAAAACGCTTGAAGCTCGAAGCATTCGTGCGCTGCGCTATGAATGGTTGTGGGGTAGCTGTTATCCAACATAATAATATAGGCTCGACCTCACGTTCGAGGTCGATGGTGATATTTATCTTGCCATTTATATGGGCTCAATTGACCGCTTTATACAGACTAGAGGTCCCGCAGTAGTCGAAATTCGACTATAATAATTAATTGGAATGTTAAGTTTGTACACTATTATGATTGTATTTTATACTTCTATAATCACAAATTTCGCCAAGACTACACTATAAAAAATATTAACAAAGACAAACAATATTTAATCTATTGTTAATTTGACAACAGACGTCAAGAACAAAAGTTTGACAATAAATAGTATGCATGCGTGTGTGCGTCAAATACATGGTATGTAGTGTGTGTAATGTTTTCTTTATTGATTTAATGTATCTTTTATGCATTATTTTAAAAAAATATTAGCATATTGCACTTCTTCTCTATATTCTCTATAGGTGTGGAAAATTTCATACTCCTCCGTCCGTGCAATTTTCGTAAAAAGGGATACACAGTTTTTGCTTCACGTATTAATATATAGATGAATCGAAAGCTCGTGTACGCGTCTTAGGAATATAAAAAAATAAGTTACAGAAAGTGAAAAGATCTGAAGTCCAGTAAAATTAAGATTAAAATTTTTTTTGGATATTTTCGCCTAGAATTTCCGAAGAGAATATGCTGATGCAATCATCAATTTAAGTTAAGTAGTGGTCAGCCGGTAGTCGAAATTCGTCTATAATTATTAATTTAAATTATAAGTTTAACATTATTATGGTTCTATTGTGAAAGACTTTACTTCTTTAATCACAGATTTCGCTAAGGCTAGATACACTATAGACAAATAATATTAAAGAAATCAATAATAATCTATGCTCAACTTGACCGCAGACTAACAATAAACAAAATATATTATTATAGTATATATGTGTGTGTGTGTGTCAAATACATGTTAATGTGTGTAATGTTTTCTTTATTGGCTTAATATATTTTTATGCATTATTTAAAAAATATATTAGCATTGTGCACTCCTTCTCTATGTATTATAAAGTGTGGGAAATTTCATACTCGTCCGTTCGCGCAATTTTCGTAAAAAGGGATACAAAGTTTTTGTTTCACGTATTATAATATATAGATTAACCATTTTTTTAAACACTGAACAATACTTGTATTCCACTCAGTAGCAATTGAATAAAAAAAAACAGAACACAGTCGCCATTCATAGAGGCATTTTTATTTATTAGGCCTATTTAAAAATAAGGCACACTATTTTATTTTATTTTATTTTATTAGGAAGACAAACAGTGAACTTAAACTATATAAACTCTAAACTTACAACTAAACACCATTTAAATGTCTCCGCATTTAAATAACTATAAACGATTGTGGCGTCGCATCGCCTAGAATTAAATAATTAACGTAAAACGTAAAACAAAAACAAAAATAAAACAGTTTGAGAAAAGAAAAAAAAAACAGAAAAACGTAGTAAATAGAAAATAATTAATTAAATATTTGCATTCAACCATCGACTGACTAATGTTCTCCTAATACTCTTAGTAGAAGTGTTGAAAATGTCCAGTTCAGGGAAGTCAGCTAGAGCATTGAAACTGCTAGCAGCTCTTATAAAGAATGCATTACGTCTGTAATTTGTACCACCNGTTGCTAACGGAGCCAGTCGAGATAGGATTTGACTAAGTTGTTCCTGTATTGAGTCCTGGGGCCCTTTACACTTCAGGCACCGCCAGGTATTTTTCCGTTCACCTAATCTGCGATAGCCGGATTCCGTCACTCCAGAACATGGAAAATCATAATGATTCTTGCAAATGCTGCATATTGTTCCGTCGGTGTGTTGAGTACCACAATTCGCACAGGTATGCATTTTAAGAAGTGATGGTGATAATAACAAAAAGTTAAAATATTTATAAAAGTTTGAGAAACTGATTAAGAGACGAAGCGATACAAGCGTGCGTATTCTTAGGTGGCCACGAGGCGAGTGAGTGAGTTAACTAAGACGTGTGATTATGTTATTACTTTTGCTTACATAGATGAACATGTTGACGCCCCACTTGATGTTCAGTGGTTGCCAGAGCCTGCAAACATTATCAACGTTGCACTACTTCACGGCAGAAATTGGCAGAGTGGTGGGTGATACATACCCGTGCTGGCTCACCACCAGTAAAATTTGTTGCAGAGATTGAGCCTTATACAGAGAAAGATTATGGTATCTATACTAATATATAAGTCTACAGTGGTTTTTACGGATGTTCCGTTATAACTACTGAACCGTGCATCCGATTGACTTGAAACTTGGTGTCCATGTAGAAAATACATGTGCTTAATGCATAGGATAATATTTATATGAATGTTGGACTCCCTAATAATAATGACAGTAATAATAATGTTAATTTTACGGCTAGTGTCGTATATAAACAGTGATTCCGCGTTTTTATCCAAAATGAATTGTCATTAAACCTACAACCTTTTTTTTTTTTATGATTGAANTGAGCACGAGACTATCTGGCACGCCCATGTTGAATAGTTTGAAAATCAAACCATTGTGCCAGACTTTGTCGAACGCTTTTGCGACGTCGAAGAAGAGAGCTCCCGTGTATAACGGTTTTGGTCGATTAAGCCCCACAAGAATGTGCTCCGTGAGGCGGTGCACCTGTTGAACGCATGAGTGATTTGTACGGAATCCGAAACCTATAACCAAACATCTGTTCTACGGAACAAAAAAAAAAAATTAAATGACATAATCTATACGATATTCCCA